TATATATATATATATATATAGATATTTCCCTCCAGTGCGATGATAAATAAAATTTATGGCAACTTGCAAACTTTATTTGCCATGGATAACAGATTAGAGCTTCAACAGTGTGAAGAAACAAGCTTAGGAGCATCTGAAAGATCATCCAGAATGAAAGTTCCAAGTTTCCCAGTCCTGAATAATATCAACAATTTTTTAGATACCTTAATGAACGCCTCAGCAGAATCCTTGTGAGGAGGTATCCTGAAGGTCTTCTGTAGTGCTGTAAGCTGCTTGTGTATGAGACTTTCCAACTCCCTCTCCTCTTCCAAGTTGCCCTCAAACTCTGAGAATGTGATGCATAATGTTTTTTGGACTGACTTTACAAGATCCTGCGATAAAACATGAGAATATCATAAAAAGGTTTCTGAAAAATCAAGGGTGGGGCTGAAGTTGATATTATAATTGTATAAATCTTCTGTAAGATAGCAAAATTAGATCTTTAGGCTGCCAATAGTCTTGCAGCCTTCATTATTATCAAAAAAGTCAAATTACTAGCAAATTTGACTTTTATTAGGCATGCAGGAATGAACAGAAGTAAGAAAGTTTATTAATACAACATTGACATCTTAAATTTAGAGTTTTTCTTCTTTGGCTCAGATAAAAATAACGTTAATTGATTAAACAAGTAAAACTCAACCAGAAAAAGATGAAAGTTGCGCTAGAATGTCTCAATAGTAGAAATGCAAAATAGGATTTCGAATTTCACAAAAGAAAGAAAGAAAGAAAAAAAGTTTATGCATAGTACCTCAATATATAAGGCCTCGTACGTATTCCTGCGATTCCTCCGATTTGGAATAGAATCTTTCAGCACATTTTCGACCGTTCCAACAACTTCATTTGGAGTTGCAATTGCACGTTCGTTTAGCAAGCGGTCCCAATGCAGGGGGGTCTTGCGCATGTTTAGAAGAGCCAACAAGTACTGAGCAAGACGCACTTCGCCTACTACTGAATCTTTCACAGCCCCTACATGTAAGAAAAGATTAAAGAAGTAATACATGTCTATGTGAGTGTATATAAAATAAAATGTTTAATTTTTATCGTCACATTAGTTAAAAAGAAGTTGAGAAGGCTTTAAGGAAAACCAAGGGCGGAAAGTTTGTAGGATCTGATAATATCCCAATTGAAGTGTGGAAATATTTAGGAGATTTGGGAGTTTCTTGGCTTACTAAACTCTTTAATTTTATTTTAAAACCAAAAAGATGTCTAAGGAGTGGAGGAAGAGTATTTTGGTCCCCATTTTTAAAGAGTATGCAGAGGATTGTGCAAATCACAGAGGAATTAAGTTGATGTGTCATTCTTTAAAATTATGGGAGAGGGTAGTTGAACATAGGTTAAGAAGTCATAGGTTAAGAAGTAATCAATTTGGATTTATGCCCGGCAGATCTACTATGGAAGCTATACATTGGAAGCTATACATTTATTGAGACATTTATTGAGAGGTTTGATGGAGAAGTTCAGAGATAATAAGGAGGATCAACATCTGATTTTAATTTATTTAGAAAAAGCTTACGATAACGTTTCAACAGATATCCTTAAGAGAGTTCTTGAGAAGAAATGTGTTGATATGACTTATATTCAAGTCATTAAAGATATGTATACTGGAGTTGGTGTTCGAACTGAAGGAGGATTGACCTAATATTTCCTAATTCTGTTGGATTACATCAAGGATCAGGATCGGCTTTAAGCCCATATCTTTTTGCTTTAGTTATTGATGGTCTTATTGGACATTTATAGGAGGATAGGAGGATGTACCTACTGGACATCTATAGGAGGATGTACCTTGCTATATGCTTTTTGCTGATGCGGATAAGACCGCGGATAAGACGAGAGAAAAAGCCCAGGAAAAACTTGAATTATGGAGGTCTACATTGGAGTCTAAAGGTTGTCATTTGTGATAGAAAATTCCCGCTTAGAGTGGTAGGAAAATTTTATAAGATGGTGGTAAAACCTGCAATGCTCGAGTATGCAGAGGATTGTGCAAATCACAGAGGAATTAAGTTGATGTGTCATTCTTTAAAATTATGGGAGAGGGTAGTTGAACATAGGTTAAGAAGTATTACAAAGATTTCTCATAATCAATTTGGATTTATGCCCGGCAGATCTACTATGGAAGCTATACATTTATTGAGAGGTTTGATGGAGAAGTTCAGAGATAATAAGGAGGATCAACATCTGATTTTAATTTATTTAGAAAAAGCTTACGATAACGTTTCAACAGATATCCTTAAGAGAGTTCTTGAGAAGAAATGTGTTGATATGACTTATATTCAAGTCATTAAAGATATGTATACTGGAGTTGGTGTTCGAACTGAAGGAGGATTGACCTAATATTTCCTAATTCTGTTGGATTACATCAAGGATCAGGATCGGCTTTAAGCCCATATCTTTTTGCTTTAGTTATTGATGGTCTTATTGGACATTTATAGGAGGATGTACCTTGGTGTATACTTTTTGCTGATGATATCCTTCTCGCGGATAAGACGAGAGAAAAAGCCCAGGAAAAACTTGAATTATGGAGGTCTACATTGGAGTCTAAAGGTTGTCATTTGTGATAGAAAATTCCTGCTTAGAGTGGTAGGAAAATTTTATAAGATGGTGGTAAAACCTGCAATGCTCTATGGCGCTGAATGTTGGCCTTTAAAAGAGAAGCATAATACTAAGTTAAGTGTTGCCGAGATGAAAATGATTAGGTCGATGAGCGGCTTTACACTTAGAGACATAATCTGAAATGATATATCCATGATAGGGTTGGTGTAGCTCCTGTGACGGACAAAATTAGAGAGAGCCGTCTTAGATGGTTTGGTCACATTAAACGTCGACCATCTGATAATTCGATTAGGAGTAGATGTTTTAGATTTGACTTATGTTAAGAAAGACACAGGTAGACCTAGGAAGAATTAGGCTTATTGTATAAAAAATGATCTTAATTTATTAGAATTAAATTAAAATATGATACTAAATAGGACTACTCAATAGGATGCAATGGAGAAAAATGATTCATATAGTCAACCCAACTAAGTTTGTATTGTATTGTATATGTGAGTGTATATATGCCTATATTTTTATACATTGTACAGCTAAATTAACGTGTAATATATGAATCTATATATGTAGATTCTATGCATGTATTCTGCCTTAATGATTCATATTAAGACATCAAAAAATAGATTGAAATCTGATTGATTTTTTTGCTTTGATTAAACTTCATTGAAGTATACAAGCCACACCTAGCTCAAATTGAGATTGTATGAGCTTGCCTATAATCAGACATAAAGTAGTGGTTCAAGCTTGGATAAAAAGCCAATCATGAGCCGGGTAAAATCTGCTCAATATAAAATTTTTAGCAACCCTAATATTGATTATCACATGATTACTAAAAGGATCATAAAAAAAAATAATATTAGCTGAGGTACCATTTTCCAAATATCATACAATATGAACTTCCACAATAAAGCATGATTTGGAAACTCTACAGATTAATTTCATATAAAATGTAAACTGATAACATAACTTTGAGGAACAATTAATTTGTTTAGCTATTATACTTATCAAACAATGTTTGGCGTACTAAAATTAAATAAACACATAAAATTCAAGGTAAAATCAATGAAAAAAAATACTAGTAAACCTTTAAAAGGTAGGCGTCAGGATATAATTGGATTAAAATAATACACTTTTAAGTTGTGCGAGTTACAAACCTTCAAATGCGACCACAACTCAAAGAACCTTCTTATTTACAGCCATTTCCATTTTTTTATGCTGTTTTTCTTTTTTTCCTTTGTTCACCATCATGACTACGATAAACTTAAATTAGTGGGTTTGTGACAATAATTGTATTATTTCAATACATGACTTACTATTGCTGAATCTAGGCCCAGTTAAAGGCCTTTTTGGAAAATTCGCAATGAGACTTGCATCTCATTAGGTACTATTTGAGACTTATGCCTCACATAATATGAGATGCAAATTGGCTTGTGACTCACATAATATGAGGCCTGACTCAAGTCATGCCTTGCCTCAGTTCTCAAGGCTGTGGTCTGCCTCAACGCATGCCTTACCTAAGGTCTAGTGAGACTTATGCCTCAAATAATATGAGACGTGCATTGAAAAATATAAGACTTATGCCTCACCATAATAAATATAAATAAAGCATTAACAAATATTCCTTATATATACAATATACAACGGATGATGCAAGTAAAGTTGTTGCTATCAACATAACCATTTTTCTAAAATAAATATTCTTATTAATTAATATAAATTAATTAGGAAGAATATGATAGAGATTTAAGATGGGGATGATAAAAAAGAGAGCAAGAATATAACCGAGAATGAAGTGAGGCAGAAAGCAAATCGTTATGCATTTGAGTCCAAAAATAATTTAAATTTTCTACACATCAAAAGATAACTTCCAATTTGAGCATAACAATATAAAAATAATGCAAACACATCAAATAAGAAAAAAATATGTGCAAAGGCTCTAGCAAATATACAAATGTGAAGTCTAAGACCAAAATGATGAGATAGTCTGAGAATGTTCTCCGAGCTAACTTGAAACGAAATCAAAATATTCTTCCTCCGAGAAATTTCCAATGTTTTAAAAATAAACTATTTCTTTTCCAAAGTCAAACTTAAACCTATCAAGCTATTCACACTCTCGAGCAGTCCACCTTGCCTATAGGATAAAGTTGTAAGTCACATTCTTTGAGTCTAAAATCCCATGACTGGAATCGACAAGATTTGAATCCCACATAAGATATGTAGACATAAAAACAGCAAGTCAAAGCTAAGATAATCCCCAATGGCTCAAACATCATAAATTATAAATCTTAAGATATAACTATTTGGACACTAAACCCTCTATTAACTAAGATCGACTTAACGTCATATTTCTGAGCAAGCATCCACCTCAGACCTACAAGATCCTGTAAGATGACAGTTCATGATTACGGAGAGAGATCATTCGATTAGATTAGGTCAATAATCTTTTCAAATTAAGTAGATTATGTTCAATAATAACTCAGGATGATAGAATCATAAATTTGGATCATGTTTGTCATCACTTTCCCTCCATCTAATCTAAGCAAAAGGTAGTAATATTTTGCAGAATAAAACCAAAATTGTTGTTATTATATGCTAAACACTTAACGACCAATAAGTAGCCTTAGTCAAAAGTTATCTCTCACCGCCAAGAGACATTTAATCAAAAGAGCTTAAGTCTATAAAAACTTTGAATCAAATCTTAATACCCTCACAGAATAAAGGTAAAATCTCTAGAAAGTCTTAGCTAAAATATAATGTCTTCTGAAAATTTAATTTGAAACAACAAACTGCTCTCTAAAAAACTGGACATAAGTTTTTTGTGGGCACATTTAGAATATTGTATCATTTCATAAATTAATTAAATATGTGTGCAATTATAATAGTTTTGCATTTTCCCCGATGCTCCAAGTTGTGCATAAGGATAGCTACAAATATTATATGCAGGCTTCATTTTCTTTTCTTCTCTCAAAATTTTACTAGTTCTTGCTTGCAATATTTGTTCTGTGTCACTTTCATAAACTATTTTAAACATTGATAGCTTGTCCCAATCAATATTCTAGCAGCATATTAGCGTGTAGACTTTTTAAGTTCTTACTATGAAACAATTTGCTCGTAATACATTTGATCCAGATTTAAATTCAAGCAAACATCCACCAGCTCTCTGAACATTGACTCGATTGTAGCAAGAGCATAGATTAGCACAAAATCAAGCATGACTACTTATCAGGGATGAAATTACAAATTAGCTATAAATCAAGTATGTGCTTCTCATCAAATTCTTATGACAGAGCTGCCGGCACCTGTACTCAAATAAACACAAACAATTTTACTTTCTTATAATTTCTTCATAGTAGCTCATTCATTTTCTCTCGAGTTCTTTTCATCAACTCCTTTATAATCCACCCGGTTGAGAATCAAGCTTTAAGCATGTCAACAATCTCCAATGTTTTCAAGATAAAATAGGTTAGAAGAATAAAACAATTAATTAACCTTATAAGTGTGGAATTATTTCATCTCATATTATTTACTACTACAACCACAAGTCAAACTTTCCCATATAAAATAAAATAAAAGCTTTCAGATTTTTTTTCTATCTTCTAAAATAACTTGGGACCAAACAAAATGGTTTTCACATTATTATAGCAACTACTATTTTTCTTGTAAAAGATAACCAAACTGTTCTCTTATGTCTGCATTATTCACTTAAATTATCTACATGTTAAGTGCTTCAATGCCATGCTTTCCATGGCATCAACTAAGGTTTAGTTTACCTTTATAACTTAATCAAGCACACCATTCCAACATTCTACATTCAAACTATGCTGTGGCCCACTTTTAACCATAAGTAATAAGGATCTGATCTGATGCATCCAAGGGACGGTTTAACAATATGAGTAATCACAATTAAGCCATGAAAATGGATTTAGCATTGTTTTATGGGTGGCAAACCGCCTCAATTTTTATCACCCACTAGCTTTATTCTAAGTATTTTACAGTATTATTAAATTCGATAGCATGATAAAGGAATTAAGCATTGCTAAATGCACCGAATAATAATGCATCGCAGGACGCACACCTGTAACAGCAAGCTTTAAGCCTGTCTCAATATCTGGAATGCTAGGCACCAGCACACCTGGGGTGTCCAGAACATAAATGCTAGGCTGATTCGCAATCTGTGAAGTAATTAGAACCAAGTATCAGCATAGCCAATTATCGTAATTAACTCAAATAAATCTATTTGATGCAAATAAATCCATTATAAGCTGAATTTAGCTGGCCATGGCCCAAATAAATAAAAATGTATTACGAGAATTAACAAGAAACGCATAAGCCTTTCTTGTTCTCAATTTCAACAGGTGTTTCCAAGAAGTTCAAATAGATCAGGTTGTAGGAAAAGTACTTTTGATCACGCAAATTCAAAATGAAAGATGGTACTGAAGACAAACAATGTCCACGCAATATCAAGAAACAAAGCCCTTCAACAATTCAAACACACAAAAAGGAAGCAATAGATAACATGCATGGCACCATGCAATGTTTAGGTAGAAACACAACGACCACAACCAAAAATGTCAAAACCTAGATGGGAGAGCCATTGAGAGTTTATTGGAATGGGCATGGAACAGACATACAAGAGATAGAACTTAAAAGTAACTCCACAAAGATAGACATGACTAAATGAAAAAAAATATAGCTAAAATATCATGCAAAAAGCATTGAAAGAGCCAAGCAGAACATAAACTGAACTCAATGACTTAAAAGGGACTTAGAAGGAACCTAAAAGGGAGTGACAATGGGCACGCTAGTTTGTACTAATAAGAATAAAATTTCCATAACACCTAGAACCTTCATAACTATTGAACCAAATCTGAAATGATGAAATGAGTAAAAGAACTCTCCCTTTTTATGGAAAAAAATTTATTAGGGTCACAATCAAAGTTCGAATGTTCCCCAAAGGCTCAATTTCTTTGAGCTATGAATTGAAGGGTATACTTAAAAGAGCACAAATATTTTGTTAGCTAAGGTCAATTTAAATTATCAAACATACAACTCAACTCTACAATATTCTCTTTGACAATACAAACTATGGCAATTAACAGGATTTTCCGATTAGAATGAGAGAACTACCTCTAACTAAATAAACTATGGTCTAAAATAACTCGGAATGATGGAATGAAAGAATCTTGATCGGATTCATAATCATTCCCCTACCATGACTTCTAAGCTAAAGATGATAACAATTCTTCAATCTAAAACTAAAGCTATTGCTACTATATGCCAATTAACTCTTTAATGACTAGCATTAATAAAAAATTTACTCTCATTATATGGCAGGGTAATTAATCAATAGGTAAATGGGAAATGCACCTATGAAAATCAAGGAATCATATCTTAATGCTCTCAAAGAAATTTAATTGAAACACATGAAAATTGCTCAAGTGAGCTGATCTTAATTTTTCAAAGCCCAAGATTACTATCAAAAATCTTAGGTCAATAATGATGTCAGAATTGTCCTCTGATCAAATAGTTTTAACACAAATAACACCACAAAAAATAGTAATGAAAGGAGCTTTTTGATTTAGTGATTTGCGATAAAATAAAACCCCAAAATTACAATCGTGAGCAAAGCATGTAAATTCCCTAGTGATCCAAATTCTTTTATTGTTGAATCATAAAGTGCACATGATAAGATATGAAACCTTGTATATGCTAAAATTTATTTAAAATTATACCCTTAAAAAATATCCACATTAAATCTACAAGATCCCCTTGGATGCTGAAACTGAAGGTTGCAGATAAAGATTTTTCAGTCAGACTGAGTCAATTACCTCTAAATCAATAGACTAAAGGTCACGGTAACATATGACGAAACCATGAGGATCTTGATCGAGTTTATCACCATTCCCCCAACCATCCACTCTAAGTTATGCTGGAAATTTTCTTATATCTAAAATAAAAAATATCGCTACTATAAGCTAAATATTTAGTGCCTGCTAACAGTCTTAATTAATTTTTTTAGCTCATAATTAAGAGAGATAAATAATCATAGAGGATAGATTTTAGAATAATCAAGTATGATATCAATAATCCAATTTACCTTCTAAAATTTTATATTTTTGAAAAATCAGAAACCAGATCATCAAGTCCTGCAAAAGAAGGATGAAATATTTGGATAGTGTTTTATCAATAATCCAATTTACCTTTAAAAATTTGACCCAAAACACTGCACTTTTAGAATAATCAAGTGCAAATTTTCAGAGCCTATAGGTGGGTATCGCTGAAAGCCTTTTCTTGAAAAGTTGCACTTTGCATTCATTAAAAGTCAAATAGTACAAAATACAAAACTATGCAATCGAGAATGTACAGAACAGGACTTGTCATCTCCAAAAAATAGAAGAAAACTCACGACTTAGGCACAAGTGTGAAAGAAAAACAATGCAAGAGTGATAATTGGGCACAAAAGAGTGCAGGTCTGTTTAGCTCTCTAGAAATGTACTGGAAAATGTAATGTCTAAACTCTTTGAGATAAGCAAAGTCAGTGTTGTCCTAAGTCTTCCCTCCCATTTGGTAGCTTCCATAGTTTGTCTCAAGAAATTCATAATGTTTGCAATGTCCCCATTAATAATGAAGCCCTTTCCTTCCAATATCCAAGGCTTGATAATGTTCTTGTTAGAGAGGAAGACCTAGAGCTCCACCTGACTACCATTACAGGGTTGTAGCTGCTGATCCATAGCAATTAATAGCTGTCCTGCTTCATTCCTGAAGATCACACCTTTGCCAGCAAGATGAGACGGAAGTAAAGCTCCGTCGACATTGGACTTTATCCAACCTGAAGGGGGGGCAACAAAGAAGAGTGAGAAAATAGCATGGGCAGCTGGCTAGTGTCCCAGTGCTCCGGTATGGGAAAAGAGTGAGTATTGGTGAGATCTTCGAAAATGGGTGCTGCCATCACTGTATGAGTGGCAAAAAATCTCCCGTCACTTGGAACTTTTGGTCCTCCAACACAAATGGATTGCATGACAATAAACAGCCTTTTTTTTTGGGATGATTATAAGATCAATGTACTAGTTTGAGATTTCAAGTTACCATTGAACATGTTGCATTAGGCTTTGGTTTGAGGTTTTACTATAATATTAGTCTCACCAAGATCTGTGATTTGAAGTTGACGTTCTTACTTGTGATGTCACAAGTCCTCTTACATTTATCTTGGTAAAATATAAGTCTCAAATTATAATAAAAAGAGTTAAATATATATCAAATCTCATCAAAATTGTTAAACCCAGCATATGATAGTATAAAGCTCGTCTAACTTTTTACAATATTTAGTGCTCTTAATATTCCCTCTTTGGCTTTATTATGAACACAAATTCTAAAGTTGGTTCAATCCCTCATGACAAGACCAAATCCTAGAATATAAGTTTGAAATCAAAAATATTTTTTGCTACTTTAACCGAAAGTTTTCTTAAAATATGGTATTTTTCGAGATGTTATTAACCATAGGGGCTTATTCTTATAAGGAATATGTACAACATAATAAATAAATTCTATTCGCTTGAACTATATTGGATTAGGGGAAAATCTCTAAGAACATATATTCAATTTTCAAAACTCATCTTTTTTTTTTATCTTTGAGTGGGTAATAAAATTTCATTTTTATCTTTTAAAACGATATAAAAACTCAATTCTGAAAATCCTTTTCAAATCAAATTGATTATCATTTGAATTTACAACCAAAAATTTATTTGTGCCTTCATGATAGCACGATAAACTTGCTGTGAGTCAACTTATTTGAAAAATATTCCAGCAAGCAATAACCAAGTCAAGATAAAACCACAGAACAATAAGTATACATTTCTCCATACTCCCATAATTATATAATGCTACAAAGCATTATTAGGTTTGAAAAACGTCAAAACCACCTACAAGATGGCTATGACCAACATCTTAGATGAAATCATACACAAACAGGTGTTATCGATGACTTCGTGTAGAAAGTAGAACCTATTATGAAAATGTAAATGATCTTGGGAGTACATTTGCAAGAATACAAAAATTACTATTAATCCATTAGAAAGTATTTTTGGTGCTTCATCTTAAAAATTTCTGGGCTTTATCATATGTCAAAAGGGCATAAGAATTCATACATTTAAGATTAACGCCATTATGAATATATGCCATCACCAGAAATCGCAAGGTGGCCTCATTCTCTACAGGGTAAATTGGCATACAAAAATAAATTTATCTCTAACCTCAAGCAAGTTTCAACTATTAGCAAAAATGAGATTTACTGCACCACCCAACTCGGATGACATCAATCCCAAGAAAGCTATTGATCTTGTTTGCGATGACTTGGAAGAAATCGCACGGGCATTGCTTGATCAAAGTGATGAAAAATGAAAAGAAAATGAACATTTGTATAGCAGTTGACAATTAATAGGAGATGAGACAAAGTACACTCATATTAAGAAATAATATTTGATGTTAATCTTTATTACATAAAAGCTCCATTAATCATTGACATACAAAATAATTCTATTATTACAAGTCGACCACTTCAAATTTGTATTACCTAAACCCACTCTAACCAATCATTTAGCTACGTGGACAATATTGTTGATTAAATTTGACTTCATGAAGGTCCTGTAAAAGTCTATGAAAGGGCAGGCCCTAATCGATTTCCTCATTGCCCATATTCCCCATAATTAATTGACACGTGAGCAGATCCTCAAAATAGAAGACGAACAATCTTAAAAATGAGAGCTTTATTTTGACAAGATTTCTTCAATGTGAAAGACCAACCCACTAAGTCTTCCAACAAAATGATAAAGGCTGGTTTCATTTTGTAACACTACATTGGAATATACTTCAATACTGCTATATAGTCCACTGAAACCTCCCATAAATAAATAGATAGAATATTAAGTCGAAATAACATGCCTCAAATACGTAAAAATTAAGAAGCTTCACTTATTAGAACTCCCATCTCATACTTAAACAAATAACAGGTACTTCCAAGAAAAGCAAACCAAATTAGTTCTTATATTATCGCCTTGCAGTAGAACTTCTACAATAGATCCCAAAAGTAATCTTCACAAAAGTTACATGCCGAAAAATGGTAAAGCTGAGTAGCTGAGAGAATAGTGAATCAGCTCCTCTGTGATGCAAAAAATTCAAGGGAAAGAATTTGACCTTAAAACCCGCAATATCCTGAGTGACACCTGGAAAAGGGCCGACAGTAGCATGTTTTCTCTTTTCCTGTGCTAAGATGAAAAAAAAACAAAGCAAAAATAAGATGATATCAATATCATTAACAAATTTAAAATGAGCAATATATTCCTTCAAAAACTTCAAAGCATGCAAATTGTACGAGCAAACTTACCAGGCAAATAAGAATCCGCAATCTGACCAATAGAATTGATAAGAGCAGATTTTCCAACATTAGGAACTCCAACTACCATAACAAGAAGTGTAGGTTCTCTCGAGATTACTTCTCGTAGTTTTAGCTCCACCAAAGAAAGTAGCTATTTATAAACCATATGTTAGTATTGGATGTAAATAGTAGTTTTTATTGTGGAAACACCTAAAGTAATAACCTTCATTTATAAACTGTAAAATAGAACTTAAATATTTTTCTACAACTAAAAACTCACTTATATGAGCCTTTAGCTCAAATTGCATTAAATTCAATACATAATCATTCGAAAAAAAGAAAAATAAAAAGCTTACAGACTTCAGTGCCACAATTGGCAAAACTGACCTGTTTGACAGAACTTCTACTATGCGCATTGATTGGGAGGCAGTCTTGCTTGAATGACTCAAAATGCCTGATCCATTGCTGTCAAATAAAAAATGACGCCTAATAACGTTTCAGAGAGAGCTTACAGACAAATCATGACTCCAAAAGATAAATTTATGCACTAGTGATGAGGGCTTAAACTCTGAATTTTCGAGTCAGGTTATTCAAATCGTTTTATATATTTTGCATTTGATTGTTATTTCATTATTTATTAGGGATATTTCAGCACATCCATTAGTTTTTAAGCAGTTTCTCAACACTTCATTATCAATTTTTTACTCTTTCACTTCTACAACCAGTATATTATGGGGTATAGCATGCAAAAATTCTTATTATAAATTTGGTACAACTTCGAGATTTTAATCTTTGATAAAGCATGAGAGCAGAACTCTTTCTAAGTGAAATATCCTCTATATCAAATGCAATGGTTGCCTACCTGGTTATTGTTTCTTAATAATCTTTTTTTTTTCCTTCATTAAGATCCCTTCAAAATCTCGTAGATAAACATTCAACATCAACTTTGTATCAGAACTATGATTTTGGACCATTCTATATGAAATCAATTTTCATAATTTTTTTATTAGTTTTCAAATTAATATGTTACGCTGTTGCCAAGCCTAAGGGCAATTTAGTCTTCCATTATTTATTATTGTTTTAGTATAAATAGACCCTAATAGGTTTAGGGTTAAGCATGCATGAGACTGTGGTTGTGAGTCTTAGGATTAGTGTTTATGAGAGATTTCCTACCTCTCGAATTGTAGGATTTTGGAGAGATAATCTACCTCTCGAATTATAGGTGTTTATCGTTTGTATTCGTATAGGTTGATTGTGTCGGTATTATTTTGATTTGATCTTATTGAAGAAAAATATTGGTTTGTCCTAATTTGTCTGAAAAATCATGTTGATTTTTACATCAGATCATATCAAATTAATATCAAAGCTCTCGAGTCATGAGATACCAATGACTGGGTTGTTCGATACAGAAGTTCGTAGCCCTCAGCACTGAACATCGCTATACAATCGCGATTAGAGCTTGCAGAGAAGGCAGCAACGGGATTGCGGCTTAGAGAGACCTGAAAATTCTTTTTTCTTCACGGAAAAAGCAACGACATGATAGAAGATTACAAAGACTCATAACTCCCATCTTTCGCGCTTAATCTGTCAATCTAGTCACAACAAGAGCTAGCTGGGAAGCATCGACGGTATCATGATTCCAGCAAGCGGCTTACAGGGATCACCGCTTACACGACAGGATCGCAGCTTCTAGAGACCCATCTTTCTCCTCCTCTTGTTTCCGACAATTGCAATCAGCGATAGCTGAAAATCGCAATCGTCAATCGCAATACAATCGTGATAAGAGACACATGACTCTGTGACCTAATTAGTAGAAGAAAGAGACATGTAACTTCCATCCTAGGCAGTGTACAGAGACTCGAAGCTCCATCCTCGCAATACAATGCAATTAGAGCTAGATGAGATGGCCGCGTGGGGGATTGCAGCATATAGAGACCAGAAACTTCCAATTTTCTCCTTTCGCTCTGTCCTAGCAATACAGTAGCAAGATCGCAGTGTCCGATCAAGATACAGTTGCAATCCAATATCCCAAAATTCAACGACCAGATCGGGTAAGCCCAAGTGACAGAACCTCTCGCAATTTGGGAAGACGACAACGGAACTGCGGTGCTCCTGTCGGAATTCAAACTAGCTGGTAAGTCAACCGTAGAAACGTAAGTTTCGAAACCATACAAGGAGAGAAGGTAGTAATGAAAGTAGATGTTTTGGAAGAAAAATAAGAGAAAGATATGAGTCACATCAAACTGAAAATAGAGGAATGTTTCTCGATAACGGAAGAGTGTTTCTTATCCATAGAGGGGCGGATCTAGCGGAGATTTACGACACTGAAAGAAATGATAAAAAAGATCATGGGATTCCATATAAAACCACCTTCGTCCGCTATGAGATCCTGCGACGACGTTGGAAACATACGTGAGCAGCAGCAACCAGAAGAATTCGTGCAACGCCAGGACAATTCTGTTGATTTATACTGATCGAGAGTTGTAATATCAAGCTAAGAAATAAGAAGCAAACTGATCGAGAGTTGTAATATCAAGCTAAGAAATAAGAAGCAAACTCGAGCGGCAACACTTGGAAGACAAAGTGTGACATTCGGACGGCTTGAACAAATGGAAACAAAAAAGTTTGAAGTTGATAGAGATGGAAGAGACATAAGATATGAAGTTGATAGAAATTCTGATGATTGATGAGCTATTAGAGGAGCTGTTTGGAGTTGTGACATTCTCTTAGATTGAATCGAAGTCAAGACACTATCAGATTCATATGCAGCTGAAAAATGTGCAAAATACAACATTTAAAATTCATGAAGATCGCTATGAATTTTTGATTAAATAGAAAATATTTTCATATGATGACGGATCATAAGAACCATATGAATTGATCCAACAACAGCTCGCCTTGAGGACAAGTAGTCGTTTGGGAGACGAGTATTATTAAGTCAATGCCTTACCTAAGAGAAATTGTCTTTTTTGTGCCTAAAGGCAATTTTGTCTTTCATTATTTATTTTGTCTTTTGTGTGCCTAAAGGCAATTTTGTCTTTCATTATTTATTATTTTTTTTAGTAAAAATAGACCCTAATAAGTTTAGGATTAGGTATATATGAGATTGTTATTGTGAGTCGAGTTTGGGAGAAATTTTCTACCTCTCAAATTATAAGGTTTGGGAGATATCGCCTACCTCTTAAATTGTAGGTGCTTATCTTTTATATTCATATAAGTTGGCAGTGTTGTATTGTTTTGATTTGACATTATTGAAGAAAAAATTAATTCACCCTAATTTCTCTAGAAAATCGCACTGATTTCTGTGACGAATCGTATCACAATAACACTTCATAATTCGGAGATCTACAAGTCTAAACTCATCAAAAGTGTTGAGCAATAAAATATTTTTTTTAATTTTGAATTAAAATAATCAATATTTTATTTATTCTTCAAACTAGTTGTTAGCATGCATGCTCTCATAACATGTACGAAAGTCCAAATCCACATTAGGAAGTTGTTTATTTCCTGCCCTTAGAATATATTCCACTAATGTTGTTTCATTCTATTTTTATTTCCTATTTTCTATTCTTCCCTATTTAGAGGGATTCTTATCTTAATTCCTTTTGTAATTATATAGATGAAGTTAACTGCAATACTTTAGAAGATACAAGAAATAAAAATCTTTCTCAAAATTTTCACATGGTATCAGAGCTCCGAGAAACTTATTTCCTTTGCGAGGCTACAGCCCTATGCCACCTCAGCTTCGTCTTTGAGGTCAAAGAGCGCCAAACCAAACTTCCTCATCACTGTTGACGATGAAGGATCCACAACAATCTTCGTCGTTGTCGCTTAACGCTCATGTGTGCACATTTATGCACAAACAGTTCTGTCATTTCCACCATCTATGTCATTCGTACATCTCTAACACTATTGTTTAAACCATCTGCTTTGAAGGTCAAGTATGCTCGATTGCCGCTTCATCTCTAACTCATTATTCAGCTCTTCCAATCAAGGTCGTTGCTTCATGTTCTCACAGTCGAGATTGTAGTGACATTGTCATGCGTCTGGCTCTTTCAATCTAATTGGTAACCTTATTTCATCTTAGAAACAATTCTTTTGAACGGTCTGAGTAGATCAACTCGCATAATTGTTATTCGTCTTCTATTCGATAAAGTAGAGGTAGATACCACTCATGTGACCAATTTGAATTGTCGAAATCATGGAAACTGAGAGTTGTGCACCCCCTACTATTTCTTGTTTGCTCTTCCAACCAAGCAATTGAACTAAGGATTCTCCTCTCACCTTCTTCTAAGCAGCAGGTCTTCTAGACTTGGACCTCATAATTTCATCATGATCAAACAAGACAAGGCCTCGCAATCTTCTTCATCTAAAGTCACCTCCATATTTGAGCCTACATATTCAGTACCTAATGTACCTGACAACTCATCCCATCTACTCACTAACCAAAAAATACATGACCAGAATTTTTTTCAATAGTTTTAGTCCGTCTTAATGTAAAACTGTGGTAGAGGAAAAGATGGACGCATCACGGGCAAAATTTCTGCTACAGAAATGACCGGTTCAAAATATTGAGCCTGGAAAATTGACAATCATTTGGTTATGCGATGGTTAATAAATGGAGAAAACAAGACAACCAAAGAAATATGGGAGGCTGCAAGCGAAACTTATCCTAGCACAGAATACTTTTCAGTTATTTGAGATTGAGAACATACTATATGATCTACAAAAAAAAATGAGTGCTACTCAATATTTTAACACTCTCATGGCTGCACCTGAACATGTATGAGATTTATTCTTGAAAATGCCCCAACGACTTTAACTTGTATTGGAAGATTATTGAACAAAAAAGAGCCATCAAATTTCTTCTTGGCCTCAATAAAGACTAAGATGAAGTAAGGGTAGACACATGAGAATTAAAATCCTTCCTACCATCTGAGAGGCAATTGCAGCAATTTGAATGGAGAAAAATAGAAAGTTAATGACAAACATTCACACCACACCATTTGTTGAAGGATCAGCCTTGTACACTTACCACTCTTCTTAGAACAATAAGCCCTAAAAAGAACATCGTGGTGCGATCAATATAAAAAACCATATCAAGTGAAAGAAACAAAATGAAAATTATATGAAAAACCTACCGATTGGAAGATATACAATGAAAGACATAATAGGAAGAACTATGCAAATACTCCTACCACAACAAACAACAATGTATAATTCAATACAATCACCAGAGAGCAAATTGAGGTACTACAAAAAATATTGGGTCATGATCACAGCTTCGGACAAGTACTACAATCCTCTACTTAGCAACCAACCAGTCTACTAACACGCCACGGTATATAACCGCAAGCTCTTATTATTCAAACAATAAACTAAAATCTTAGATACTTGACTCTGGAGCCTCTGATCATATGATGGGAGACATCAAAATCTTCAAAAATTACAATCAATGCACCAGCCGCTCTGCAGCTCAAACAGCTGATGGCTCATTTACACCAAAGCAGAAACTGTATCAGTCGAATTGACAGCGGATCTTCAACTCTACTCTGTTCTCTATGTTCCATAATTAGACTACAGTCTATTCTCAATCAACAAACTTACTCGTGACTTAAAATGTGTGACCAAACTTGATTCTAATTTTTGTAATTTTCAGGTAGTAGATTCAAGGAAGATGATTAACAGTGGTAGGATGAATGGTGGTCTATATCAGCTCAGAAAATAATCTAATCGCTAAACAAGTTCATCCGTCAAATTGTATTTCTGAGACGAGTTAAAATTTTGTTAATCTAATATCCAATTCTAAGTCTGTTTTAGCTGAATATATAGTCATGTTGAGGCATTGTTGTCTTGCTCATCGAAATTTTGCTAACATTAAAAAAATATTTCAACATCCATTTATCAATAAAAAATCCATTTTTTATCAATGGGCAAGGTGCCAAGTTGCAAAACATATCTTACATATATACTCTATACTACAATACAAGCCCTCACACCCTATTGTTGTAATTCACAATAATATTTGGGGATCCTCAACAACGAGCCTTTATCCCATTAAGCGGGGTCAACTACATGAATCCATTTTCTCCAGTGTGTCCTATTGAGTGTCATTTTGATTCAATTCTAATACATTAAGATCATTTGTTATACAATATGCCCAAGTCAATTTAGGTCAACCTCTATCTTTCTTAACATAAAGTCGAATATAAATCATCTACTCTCCTAGTCAGATCATCAAATGGTCAAGGTTTAATGTGACCAAACCATCTAACGACTCTCTAATCTTGTCTAGCAATGGAGCTACACCAAACCTTTCACAAATACATTCATTTCGCATTTTATCTCTGCGTCAAGCCACTCATCCACCTAAGCATTCTCATCTCAGCAACACTTAGCTTTTAAAAAAAATAACATTTAACTTCGTTTCGCATTTATTGCTTCCATAGTAGACTTGACCGACATAAATCCAAACTGATTATGAGAAATCTTTATATCACGTATTAACATATGTTCAATTATTCTCTACCCTAAATTTAATGTACAACACATTAACTTAATTCAGCTATAATTTGCACACACTTGTGCATACACTTTATTCTTAAAAATTAAAACCACAAATATTATTGCTCCACCCCTCAGGCATCTTTTTTGTTTTTAAAAAAAAATATTACAGAGTTTAGTAAGTCAAAAAACTCTCTAATCTTTTAAAAATTGTCACCCTTCAATAGGGATATCATCAAGTCTTATTGATTTTATACCATTTGTTTTCTTTAAAGCTTTCTAGACTTACTTTTTACTTACGTGAAAGTAAAAATAAAAATTTTTAGGAATTTTTATATATAGAGGCTCTTAAATAATAATAGTTACCTATAAAAGCTTCTAAAAATTAAATTTACAAATAAAAGTCATTGTTAGGACTCTGTTTAATCCAGCCATTCGACTCCCTCCGCCTCTGCCATCCTATGCAACGTTGGCACCCCTTTTCCGGTGACAAACAAAACCATAAAGGCTCGCTCATCTAAGGTTCTCAGTTTGGTCGATACCCTTCTAATTAGCCTTCTCAGTTCTCCAAGTCGACATTGCGATCACCTAAACGACCATTCTGCCTCCTTCGTTTGACGGTTAACGTTGCGAATCCGTAAGCTAGCAATGGAACTCCAACCACTGGAATAATTATATATACAAAGAAGAGGTGCACCTGCAAGATTTAAGGGATGGATTGCAAAAGTCTTATCTTGTAAGGGATGAATAAAAAAAAACCTGAGGGGCGATCACAATAAAGCCACGAGAGGAGATGTGTTGAAGGAGTTGAGAATAGAAGGAATTATAGAGACGAATCCATCGAGGAAGATCAAAACAAGAAGCTCGTCTTCCTTGCAGATTGTTGAGAATAGTAAGTGCTTTGGGGGAGGTTGCAGGGCAGAGCTTTAGTGTCGTTCTGAAGGAAGGTGATGAGCTTGACAACGA